CTAATCTGCTAAGAAATTATGAAAACAATTCCATTCACAGTTGCCTCAAAACAACATCAACAAAACCCGAGGAATAAATCTAAGGAGGTGGAAGATCTCTACAATGAAAACTATAGTACAGTGAAGAAAGAAATTGAGGAAGATCTCAGAAAATGAAAAGGCCCTCCCTATTTATGAATGGGTAGAAGTAATATTGTTAAAAGCAATGGACAGATTCACTGCACTCTCCTATCAAAATACCAATGGCATTCTTTACAGAACTAGGAAAAAAAAAAACAGTCTTAAAACTCATTGAAAAAACAGAAGACCCAAAATAGTCAAAGTAACCAAAATGCAATGCTGGAGACACCATAATATCTGATTTCAAATTAAACTACAGATCTATAGTAACAAAAAGCTGCATGGGGGGCTGGGGATGTGGCTCAAGCGGTAGCACGCTCGCCTGGCATGCGTACAGCCCGGGTTTGATCCTCACCACCACATACAAACAAAGATGTTGTGTTCGCCGAAAACTAAAAAATAAATATTAAAAAAAATTCTCTCCCTCTCTCTCAAACAAAAGCTGCATGGAACTGGCATAAAAATAGACATATAGACCAATAGTACACAACAGAAGACATGGAAACACACACATCTATAGCCACTTGATCCTTGAGAAAGATGCCAAAAATATACACTGGACAAAAGACAGCCTCTTTAACCAGTGGTGCAGGGAAACAGATTATCCATATGTAGAATAATTAAATTAGACCTTTATCTTTCATGCTGCATACACACACACACACATACAAAAAAAAAAAAACTCAAAATGAATCAAAAACATAGAGATTAGACCAGGAACTTTGAAACTCCCAGAGGAAAACAGAGCCAACACTCCAGCACACAGGCAAAGGCAACAAAATTCTCAATAGGACCCCTACAGCTCAGCAAATAATGCCAAGAGTAACAAATGGCATCAAATTTAAAAGCTTCTACACAGCAAAGGAAACATTAGAATCGTGTATAGAGAATTCACCCAATGGGATAAAAATCTATGCTAGGTACTCTTTTGACAGAGGATTAATATCTAGAACACATAAAGAACTCAAAAGCTTTACACCAAAACATCAAATAACCTAATTAATAAAGAATCAAATGAAATAAACAGACACTTCTCAGAAGAAATACAAATGGCCAACACACATTTTAAAATGTTCAATATCACTGGCAATTAGGGAAATGCAAATCAAAACTACACTGAAATTTCTTCTCACACCAGCTAGAATGGCAGACATCAGGAACACAAATAATAATAAATGGTGGAGACCACGTGGAGAAAGAGGAACACTTTGATCCTGTTGATGAGACGTAAATTAGAACAACCACTATGGAAATTAGGATGGAGGGTCCTCAAAGGTCCAGGCAGGCCACCACCATGTGACCCAACTATACCACTCCTTGGTATTTACCCTGAAAAATCAAAGTCGTCACACTAGTGTAATACATGTAATATTCCTGTCAATAGCAGCACAATTCACATAGCTAAACCACGGAACCACCCTTGATGTCCATCGATGGATGGATAAAGAAAATGTGGTGTATATACACAATGGAGTTTAATTCAGCCACAAAGAAAAAATGAAGTTATTTCATGTGTAGGAAATGGATGGAACCAGAGACCATCATGTTAAGTGAAATAAGCGAAACTCAGAAGGTTCAGGGTCGTGTGTTTTCTCTCCTATGCCAAAGGTAGAGAGGAAAACCAAGTTGGGGATGGATCTTAAATCTCAAAAAGAGATCAGTAGGGGAAAGGAACCAAGGGATAGGAGATGGGGAGGGAGGGGGAAGTGCCGGGGAGTGATATTGGCCAAATCGTATTGTCATATTGTGTGCATGTACGAATACGTGACCACAATCCCAACTTTATGTACAACTATAGGGCACCAGTAAAAATAAATGTAGAAAAAAAACCCTCAAAAAATTCAAATGGTTCCCACCAGGAGAACTGAAAATCAGACTGTGAACAACTATTACCTTACTAGGCAGCAATGAACATGCAGTAAAGAAAGAAAAAAAAATGTAGCCTGTGACATCACCTCTCATGTTGACCAGCACCTTTGTCACCTACAATTACCTAAAAGGCACAGGCCCGATTTCAGAAGTTCCACCCATTTCGGCTACTGGGAGGCTATCGTCCAGCTATTCTCCTTGTACATCCCTCTTACACGTAGCCAGCACCTGAATTCTTCCCAGTGTAATTCAAATACCAAGTGGCATGCAGAAAACAGGTCCATTCCTCCTGATCTATAAGGCAGAAGTTTTCAAACATTTTCTCCCAAATGGCAGGGGCTATATGTGGTTAGTAGGTAAAAAGGCAGATGGGAAATCGCTCAGATTGCTTGGATTGACTTGGTGTGTGCACCTCTGTCTGACCCGCTTCCCGCCTGGCACCTGCTGATGATACCAGGTAGGAGCCACAGTGGAACGGTGGGAAGACCTTGGCTCTAGGGCACTGGCATTTGGGAACTTTACCCTCGGCCAAATTGAGTCGGAATTTCTGGTTATGGAATAAGTATAGAATTTCTTCTTACTGTGGCATGAGAATTTCTGGCCACCAAAGAAACATGCACCCCAGGTAATTCTTCCACACACCAAGGACACCCACTGCACCAGCTGTTGGTGCCAAGATCGGCACCCAGCAGAGAACACTGGAGGATGGCAGGCACCAGCTGGGCGAAAAGTGAGGTGTGGCCTCAGCTCAGGCTCTTGCCACAGAGACCTGAGGTCACGCCCCCACTCCATGTAAATTTTCAAGAATTTATTCTATCAATTATTTGGGTTGAAATAATTCCACATTTCAACTTAAAATATAAAGAAGATATTCGACATTTATTAGAATTTTCTCCAAGTCCAGAGAGAGAATATTTTCTTAACTAAAAGTTTTATGGTCTGGAGAGAAAGTTGATTGAAAGTGTCAATAATTCCAAAATCATGAAGTAAAATTCTGAAGACTAAAGGAAATTTTATGATAATGCAATAAGACTATATTTTAACATTTTTCAGATAAATGTCAGTAGCAAAATTCTAAAGTCAGATATACTAGAAAAATGCTTGTGTTTATATGTGCACAAGATGATTATTCTGCTAATATTATTCATGTTGAAATAATTAAGAGAAAGCTTTAATTTTACTCTAAAGCAACTGAATGTATTTTCCATTTTTAGAAAAAATTTTTGGAAATAACACTATAAAACTAGTTTATAAATCCACTACATAATAAGCCAAACTTGGTCAATGAATAAATATTTCAAAGGTATATAAATTCTGATTATATTTCAATGCCATCTTTGACTCTCAACGATATACTATCTGGACAAAATGTATTATGTGCTCACTCACCCTATCCATGAACAATGCATACAATTGCTTTGGGCTTTATGTTCTGAAATTTTGCATGGTGTATATCTTACTAGAATTTATAATTTACAAGCTTTTGTTAAATTAACACTAAGATTTGGAGATTTATTAATGTCAATACATGTATATCCAGGTCAGTTAACTATCCTTTAGTGTTACCACTGTAGGAATAAAACTGACTGTGTATCTGCTCTTCTACTTCAGATGGCCATGATCTGCATTGTTTCTACTTTTTCATTTGCCCCTAGAAATTATCCCACTGTTTCTGCAAGCACATCTGTGATTTCTAAAATGTGTTTGATTTTATTTAGTAATTTAGCAGGAAGCATTTCCTGTTACTTGATGCCCTATGAAGGTTATATAAAGCCCAAGACTATCTTTACTTGACCCATCCTTACATGAGGGAGGCACACAAACTTCTACCTGTAACATAATTTATCTGGTGTTTTCTGTGCATATAATCAAAATGAATCTGTTCTATTTTTGGTCTATTTATGCTGGAGAAGAAGAGAGTAAGAAAAACACATTAATCTTGTCAAAATAACAAAAGGATGACCATCTGCTATAGTTTGAATGTCTGTGTCCCCTCCAAAATGCTTGTTGAAAACTAAATGCCAATGTGATAGTACTAAGAGGGGAAGTTTTGAGGGGTGCTTAAGTCCTGAGGCCACTGCCCTGGTGAATGGAATTAATATCCATAAAATGAACTTAGGGTCCACTATCATAAATCAACAGGACAATTCCCCGCCCTGAGTACAGGAGACCAGAACACACCACCCTGAAATACGTCTCTTTGGCATAGGGATCATTTCACGAACCTGCCATCCCCTCTGCCATGTGAGGACTCAGCCTTCAGCTCCTGCAGGATGTGCCAACAGGACACCCTCTTAGATGCAGGGGCCAGATCCTCCAGGCTCCCAGCCTGCCAGTGCCGCGATGTTGGACTCCAGTCCAGAACTGTGAGGCATACATTCCTGTCCTCTATAAATCACAATCTCAGGTATCTTGTTAGCAAGGCTTCGACCCATTGACCTCTTTATCAAAGATAAGCACGTGGGGGGTTGCCGCACGGAGAACGAAGGCCTTCATGGAGGGATCTCACTGACACTGTGACATGTGGCTGAGAGCCTGCAAATGGCTCCAACTACCTCCAAAGTCCTTTTTCTACTTTTTAAAGTTTCTCTAAATCACGAAGAAACATAATCAATTAAAAGAGTTTAAGAAAGAAGCAGAAGAGAGCAAAATGGGAGGACGTGCGGGTACTTTAGTCGTATCGTCAAACCCTGATGCAACTTACACAAGCCCCGCCATCCCCAGCTCCTCCAAAACGAAAACAAATACACGGCACAGTTTTGTTGTGGTCCCAACACTCCGCCACCCATGCTGATGTCCACTTTTAATGTGACACCTGCACTTGTCGATACATGTATTCCCCCTCATGTGACACCCAGGGACTCTCCTTCTAAGGAGGCCTCCTTGCAGTGACCCAGACTCCAGTCCAAACGTGGCAGAGGTGGGATGTGTGTGTGGGGAGGCTGCGCTGCACAGAGACTTCCCTGAGCAACCAACCACCGTCGCGGCCCTGGACAGACGCATCACAGTACCTGGGCCTCTGGCTGCTGTCGAGTCTCTCCTGCTGCCAGTGTCCAGAACCACAGCCAGCCCCACCGAGTCCGCCGGCAGCACGGAGCTGCTGAGGTCCACCCGCGTCAAGCTCCTGGGCTCCCTCTCAGGGCCTCCCAAGACGGTTCTAGGCTCATCCCCTCCAGGTGCGTCTGCTTCCGGACCCCTCCTTGGTCTCTGCACAATGTGAACGATGCTCTGCTGTTCCAGGTCGCAGTTCTGTTGGGAGTGAGGTGGAAACATATAAGTAAATGGCCAGCACTAAATGCCAAAGAGCTACCCGTCCTCGGTCCCAGGGGACTTTCAAGGCCATTTCTGAACTGTGTCTACATCAGCAGTCAAAGGGACAGGAAAATGACAGGTGTGATTGATTGACACACTTCCCTGCCCGTGGGGGTCAAGGCACTTGTACGTGGTACTTGTTAGAAAAGCAACACTGAAGTGGGGTCAGAAACGGAAATTTAGGGATAAATGGAAGGCAGCAACAGAAAGCCACAGCAATGATCCAGGGGACATGGATTTCCGCCATTTTATATATACGTAAGCAGTATTTGCATAAGCGCAGTGCAAATAATATGCTTTTAAAACTGATTTACCCTAGAAGTGATATGTCCTTTACTAAGACAAGGACTAGAGAAGGCACTGTCATGCACCTGCTACCCCCTCTCACAGAGCTGGGTCCTGGCTCTCAGTACCCCTCACCCCAATTCTCTATGGCTTCAAACTGCTTCCTGCCATTCCCTCTCATCTGGAGACAAGCTCTGTGTGAGGCGTCAGGACACTAATGGCACCAGTAATAACCTCTCTCCCCGAGTCTTCCTCCAGCTTTCTCCTTGCTGTCACAGAATCCTCTCAAAAGCAGTGACCTGGTCACTCTATGGCACCCGGCCCCACACTCCTGCTTCTGATCTGCCTCCTCCCGGGGGCACCAGCACCCCCTGTGTTCTTCAGTCCTGTTCCTACCTGTTCCCACCCGCTGTCACACTGACTGTCCCCACCTCCCGCTCCCAAGGTCGCCCAGGGCAGCGCTGCTCAGCAGTGATCACTGTTCAGCATCCTTGTCCCCATGTCCAACCTACCTTCCCGTTTGTCCTACTGCCCCTTCCCCACTGCACCCAAACTCCATCCACCCGATTTTCCTCCTGCTCCCTAACAGAGGCCAGTCACCGCCATGACTCCTCCTCCTGGGCACATCCAGCCAGGTGCCTAGAGTAACCCTCAGGAGCCAGCAGTTCCTCCACACCTCCTCCTCCCTCATTCACCGCCATCGCCTCCACGTTAGGCTTCATCATGCCACCGCTTTGTCATCACGCCCCCGTCCCCACCTCTGCCACTCCAGCTCCGCACACGCGAGGATCCTTGCTGAGTGCCACATGAGCTTTCTGAAGTGTCTGCGAATCCACCTTGGTCAATGCGCATGCTTTCCTGCTTTCCAGAGCTCCATCTCAGGGCTCTCCTGACCTGCCCTCTCTTCACTGCGGAGGGTTCCAGACCACTCTTCATGCCTTCACTTCCTACTTCAACAGCACACACCACAAACCTCTCTGTGACCCTGTGCTCAGCACCGAGCCTTGGCCCCGGGTACGGCCATAGAAATGACTGAAACAGGGCCTCTCCATGCTTCTGCCCTCTAGCAGCTAGGGCCCTATAAAGAGCATCTCTGGAAGGTTCCAGCCCTGCTGCTCAAGCCCCAGAAGGACATCCAGTGCAGATGGAAGCCCAGCCACAGAGAGGCCCAGGGGCAGCCACAGCCGTGTGGGAAACAGAGTCTTCTGGGGGGACAAGCTGGGACGCACACCCCGGGCGACCCCAGACCCAGGAGAAGAGGCTCATAATGTATGGCCCTGAGCTTTTGGCTGCTCCTAGATGGAAAGTAGATGCAGCAGGAGCCCTCGGCCTGAGTCCTTCAGACCACACAGCCCGGAGACCTGAGCACAGCACATCAGGACAGAGGCCGGAGGCCAGGAGCCCACAGCAGGAGGAGCAGAGGGAGGATCAGATCTGGCCCAGCTTCAGGATGCACCCATACTGTGCCCTCAGGATTCAGCAAAAACGGTCCTCTCCACATTCAGGGCTGATCCCTGGAGACAAAAGGGATGCCTTTCTCTCTCATCCAAGTCCCCACAGCCTTCGTCTGCCATGCTCCTCCTACAACAGTGCAGGGTGTGAGCAGTACGTGGTGAGTGTGTGTGTGCATGTGTGTGCATCCTCCAGCTTGATTTATAAATTCTTGAGAACTGCATGTGGGTCACCCTCCGGTGTGTTTGCCAGAAGGCCCCATACAGTGCTCTGAGCCAACGAGATGGACTAAGAAAGCGAAGGACTAAGGAAAACAAGGAAAAAGTGGGAACACGAACAGCCAAGAGCTGTGTTCAGCGCACCCCAGGAACCAGGGAATGCAGAAGAAAGAGTCCAGCGGACTCGGGCCCTAGCACTTTGTCACCTGCTGTGTGACACTGGGGAAATTATCCCCCGACCCTGGGCTTCATTTTCTATCATGGACAACAGCATCTTCAGCTCAAAAGACTCTCGAGGACATGTGCAGAGTGAAGAGAACTCAACGCGTGGTTGGAAACTGACAAGGAGCTCCCTTTCCTGTACAGCAGTAAAGCCTGAGAACTCCATCTGTCTGCTCCCATCATTCCATTTTTCTTTATTCAGAGAAGGTAACCTAAGTGGCCGTTATTATGTTAATATTCCAGCTTTCCGTGATCCTAAAATTAATTTTAAAAATCCCTCACGCTCTGATTCCGTGGGACACATGAGGAACCTGAGCACATGTTCAGAGGCAGCTGAAATTTGACAAATATAGAAAAACTCCCTGTCCACTCAAATCCAGATTTTCCTAATGCTCAGGGTAGCACCGCAAAGGGGAACGGGAAGACCCCAGACAGATTTCAGTAGTTACACTGACATTTAGAGAACATATTTTCCCGTCTCCATCCAGGGTTCTGAGATCTTTAATTGCTTAATTTTTGACTCTTTCACAAAAAAATGTTGTTGATCAAGGAAAAGCTCCCTGTGCCAGATGGTTCACTCACACAGCCGCCAGCACAGCTCAATGCCACGCTAACATGCCCCATGGACCGGAAATTGGATCAACTTGAGTTGGGTAGCCACTCCAAAGCCCCAAACGATATTTAGCTCTCCCGATATTCGAGAAACTCCTCAGGTTCCCTAGGAAAAGATTTTTAGTGGGAGGACAGGATAGGGCTCCAACATGGCTTTCAGGACAGGACAAAACCCACGTCTTTCTGCTTGACCGTAAGATCGCCCCACAGAGAGAAAGCATGCAATGTCATTCCTTTTTCTCTTTATAGAAATTTGTTAATCCAACCAGTAAGGTGGTAGGCAGGCATTCACATCTACACTGGGTCTGGTGCTGTCAAGCAGAGCTGCAGACCCAGGGGACTGAAGGGTCTGTGACCTGGGCGCTCTCTGACAGGAACTTTGATATGGAGACAGTTCACATTTATAAAATATCTATGGAGGGTTTTTTTGGTCAAATAATGACCAACTCTCATCCAATGGGCCATTATCCAACAATATACAAAAAAAAAAAATTAATGTCTTTTTTTCTCCCCAAAGAAGTCTCTTTGATGGCATGTTGTTAGAATACAAACATTTCAGAAAGAAAGTGATAATCCAATTTTAGAAATAATTAAAACTTGAAAAACTCAACAATGTTCTTCAAAAATATTCTTAAAAGATTCCCCAGAAAAGGGAATAATGTTACTCTAACAAGAACAATTATTGGGACTGAAAAGTTATCCCGATGTTTTCAAATACTTACTGGAGAGTTACATAGGTCATCTCTAACCAGTTAGCACTCATACATTCTAACAATAATTACAGTAACAATAAAGGTAAAACGTACACAGTGTTTTGGGGGCATAACTGTCTGTTCATGGCTCCATAAGGGAGTGACTGTCACCATCTGCTGTGATCTGGATTTGTCCTCCCAGACTCACACACTGAAGCTTAATCATCAACTTGACAGTATTGAGAGGGGCTTCAGCAGGTGATCAAGTCGTCAGCATGGAGCCTTCTCAATGTGCTCAGCACCTTCCTAAAGGAGGTGTGAGGGGCCGTCTGTCCCTTCCCTCCTTTTTTGTCCCCTTTGTCCTTCTGCTCTTCGGCCATGTGAGCATCAGCAAGACACCACGCTAGAGGCCCAACGCCAGCACCTTGATCCTGGACTTACCAGTCTTCCAGATGAGGAATGAACTTCTGCTCTCGGCAACTGCCCATCCTAAGGCGACTGTGACAGCCCAAGACCCCCTGGAGAGTCGGTGTGGGAAGCCCCGTGACCCATGCCTCACACGTACAGCTGTTCGCACACTACTTATCCTGGTGGTCATTGCTCATTTCAGTTCCACTTCCCAGAAGAAGAAGGTGAGTCAAAGAGAAGTTAAAACTTGGCTCCGTGTCACCAGCTCCCAGCTGTGAAGCCACGGTGGGAACGCAGGCTGCCCAACCCCCCTTAGCCTTCTCTGAATCTGCAGAACCAGTGGAGGTGCAGATAGGCCGGGGGAGCAGGATGAGTCCTCAGGGCTCATGGTGAGGAGGGGCTCGAAGCTGCAAGTGGGAACAGCCCAGGTCAAAGGAATGTGCAGGAGAAGGGCGAGAAACTGGAAAGTGAGGGCGCAGAGAACTGCCACGGGAGGGGACCCAGGCAGGAAGCAAAAGAAAGCTCGGCTCAATGTGATTTAAGGTAGGTAGGGACAGTGGCAGTTACAGAGGACCCTGCGAAAATATGGACATGGAAGGAACAGGGCAAAGGTGGTTGGAACCAGCCCAGCAGAGTCCAAGGTGATTCCAAAGGCAGAAGCAGGATCAGCTGTTTGTGAGGTCAGCTCCCTGTGAGGTCCCCACGCCCAGGGTGACAGTGCTTGTCACAGGGTACTCTCTTCTGTGCTTCTGTCCCCACACAGCACCACCTTAGAGGAAAGGTACTGCATCTCCCTCATACTGCATCTGCGGAACCTACTGTGATCATCCTAATACACGCCCTCTGAGGCCTGAGCCACCCCACGGTCCTCCAAGCACACAGCTACCGTCACAGCCAGTGCGGAGGTGATGAAAGGCTCAGAGGGCTTCAGGGACCTGCCCAGGGGTCCAGGCAGGTGACTGGGAATGCCGTCAGTGCCTCTCAGCGCCAGGGACTCCCCACTTGGGCAAGCCTGGGTTGACAAGCCCACTCCCCATCTAGACCCCTC